TTTTTTTTTTTACAGAACAAATGGTTTCTCATTAAACAGTTAGTACACATATTGTTTTATGACATTGGTTAACAACCCCATGAAATGTCAACACTCTCCCTTCTCTACCTTGAGTTCCCTATTACCAGCTTTCCTGTCCTCCTGCCTTGTTCAAATCTGTTCTTGAGATGGTCTCTAAATTCAGGTGGAATATACTCAAGGCCATACTTTGGTTCTCGTGGACTTGTTTTAATTTTCTTCAGTTTCAACTTGAACTTGCACAGTAACAACTAATGGTCTGTTCCACAGTCAGCCCCCGGCCTTGTTCTGACTGATGATATTGAGCTTTTCCATCGTCTCTTTCCACAGATGTAGTTGATTTGATTCCTGTGTATTCCATTTGGCGAGGTTCACATGTAGAGATGCCTCTCATGTTGTTGGAAAAAAGGTGTTTGCAATTAAGAAGTCGTTGGTCTTGCAAATTCTATCATGCGATCTCTGGCATCATTTCTATCACCAAGGCCATATTTTCCAATTACTGATCTTTCTTCTTTGTTTCCAACTTTCACATTCCAATCGCAGTAATTATCAATACATACTGACTGCACGTTTGATTGATTTCATACGGTAGAAGTTGGTAAAAATCTTCAATTTCATCATCTTTGGCCTTAGTGGTTGTTGAGTAAATTTGAATAATAGTCCTGTTAACTGGTCTTCCTTGTAGATACATGGATATTATCCTATCACTGACAGCATTGTACGTCAAGATAGGTCTTGAAATGTTCATTTTGACAATGAATGCAATGCCATTCCTCTTCAATTTGTCATTCCCCGCATAGTAGACCATATGATTGTCCAATTCAAAATGTCCAGTACCAGTCCATTTCAGTTCACTAATGTCTTGGATATCGATGTTTATGCATTCCATTTCACTTTTGATGACTTCCAATTTTCCTAGGTTCATACTTAATACACTCCATGTTCTGATTGTTAATGGATGTTTGCAGCTGTTTCATCTCATTTTGAGTCATGCCACATCAGTAAATGAAGGTCCCAAAAGGTTGACTCCATCCACATCAGTAAGGTCAACTCTACTTTGAGGAGGCAGCTATTCCCCAGTCATCTTTTGAGTGCCTTCCAACCCAAGGGGCTCATTTTCCAGTGCTGTGTCACACAGTGTTCTTCTGCTATTCATGAGGTTTTCACTGGCTAATTTTTTTCAGAAGTTGGCCACCAGGTCCTTTTTCCTATTCTGTCTTAGTCTAGAAGCTCAGCTGAATCCTCTCCGCCATGGGTGACCCTGCTGGTATTTGAATACCAGTAGCATAGCTTCCAGCATCACAGCAACACGGGAGCCCCCACAGTACAACAAACTGACAGACGTGTTGGGGGTTTCATAGTAGAAGTAGAATTTTAAGCCTTCTGTCCTGTTTTATTCATGGAATTTTTTTTGTTCTAAGCTTAATTTTTCCCAATTATAAAGCTTAAACTGTCTAGCATCTTCATGCAAGGCAGTGTGATACAATGGAAGGAGCACTGGATTTAGAAATTTGAGTCCCAATTTCAGCTCTGTCACTTAATGTTCCTAATTTCTTTTTTTTTTTTTTGACTTACCAGTTTTTTAAATGGAGTTAATAGCACCAGCCCTTTTCCCCAGCATAATTGTATGGAGCAAATGAGATAATGTCTCAGTGTTGTATAAACTAAAAAGCACTATGCAAAGTATTATTTATGCATTTGAGAATTCATTAAGTGTCTTCTTTACATAGCACTATTCAAGAGACCAAGGAAGATTCAGAAGTGTAAGATTTGCCCTTGCTTTTGCTTAGTTGACAGTTGTTTAGTTTATAACGTAAATGAGTAGATGAGACAAATGTTTTGGAAATGACTTGCAAAAATATTCCGTGTATTGTTCGCTGTCACTGTCATGTGGGACTTAGAGCCTAAGACCAAACTTTAGGGGGCAGTCTGCTGCCATGATGGAGGTTAACCTTGAACTGATTTGGTGTTTTAGGATCCAGGTGGGCCATTTTTAAAGAAACTGTATTAACCTCAGTGACCTTAGTAAGGAGAGAACACTAAGATGTATCCTTGGCTATTTGCAATATGCTAGAATATTTCTCCAGATTCCTTCTAGTGTTTAATGATGTGACTTTAAGAGAAGTGTCTTAGTTACTTGTGCTACCATAATAGAAATACCACAAATGGGTGGCTTTCAGGAACAGAAATTTATTTTCTCATAGTTTTGGAGGCTACAAATCCAAATTAGGATCTTGGCCTTGTTGATTTCCTCCAGGAAATTTCTTGGTTCATTGGAGTTCTTTGGCCTGTAGATGATCCTTACATGGTGTCTGTCTTCCCCCATGTATGCGTCTCTGTTCCGGTCTTTATATAACTCAGAAGTGATTAGGTTTAGTATACACCCTACACTGGTATGACCTCATTAATGTAACAAAAGAAAAACCCTGTTTCTAAACAGGATCACATCTATAACTACAAGTGCCAGGAATTCAACACAATTTTTGAGAGGTACAATTCAATCCATAACAAGAAGCAAATGGTGGCTTTATATGAGAGCATCTCACTTCAGTGGTAAGATTTCCACGTAGTGCTTCTGCTAACCCATTTCTGACCTAGTCTTTATTCCTTCTTGTAAATAGAGAGAATGAAGTTCAACAGTTTGTTTTTGTTTTTTGAAGTAAGTACTTAAGAATTTTGACACATTTTGGGAAAAAGTTTTCTTAATAAACTGAGAGTAATGAAAATCTAGAACAAGTGAGCCATTCTACTTTGTTTTACATCAGAGGTAATGATATGATAGTTCTGCTTTTAAGCCAAACCATTTACTTTTGAAAATGAAACATTATTCACTCTTAAAATCTTGAAAAACTCTCGCTTTTTAAAAACAAATCTGCCCTCTTCCCCTCCCTCCATCATGCTTATGTTGAATCCAGAACTGAATTCTGGCAGGTCACCTCTGATGGAGTTAAGAAACATGTTGTCTAGCTGATGCTGGTTTTTAATTTTAGATCAAATGACTTTGTCTTTGAAGTCTCAAGAGGTCTACTTAAGGTAGCTGTATCAGATGGGCTTGCCTTTCAGAGTATTTCTTGCAGGCTGGCATACCTAATATGAAAAGTGAAGCCTAGTCAAAAATGAATGAAAAAGGAAGTTTTATTAGAATTATTTACTCTAAGATAGCTATTTTAGAAGGAGCCTTGACAAGCCATCTCGTTGCCTCTAGACAGGAACACACAAGGCATATGGGTATCTGTAGTATTTTAAAAGACCTTGGGGGACCAGGCTTCTTCCGTAACTCATTCCAGCGTTTAAACACCCTCCCTTCAGGAAATTCTTCCCTATATTTAACTTACAGGCCCCCTCCTGCGGTTAACACCCATTTCCACTTTTTTCTGTCTCCAGTCAGGATGGAGAACAGCTGGCCAACATCCTTTGTGCACAAACCCTCCACCAGTGACAGAAAGTCATTTGGGTATCCCCGGGCTTCTTCACCTCCAGCAGGCAGTTCTGCGAACCAAATTGAGGTCTTCTTCTCTTTGTTTTTGTTTGTGTGTCATTTGTTTTTATTTATGCCTTTTGATTATAAAATAATACCTGCTTAATGAATAAAATTTGGAAAATGTAATAATAAACAGAAATAGGGGGAAATAATAGCCCCACTATCTAGGGACAAAAACCACTGTTAATTTAGTCAGGTTTCCATGTATTTCTTATGTTGTTGTTGTGTGCTGGGGAGTCAGTTCCAACTCATAGCGATCCTATATGACAGAGTAAAACTGCCCCATAGAGTTTCCATGGCTGTAATCTTTATGGGAGCAGATCGCCTGTTCTTTTCTGCCACGGAGCTGCTGGTGGGTTCGAACCACCGACCTTTCAGCAAAAGCCAAGTGCTTAACCATTGCGCCTCCAGGGCTCCTTATTTTTTACATAGCTGAGATCATATCATCTATACTAGCTCTGTCCAATAGAAGTATAGTGTGAGCCACGTGTGTAAATTTAAATTTCCTGGTCACTACATTTAAAAAAGGTAAAAAGAGGTAAATTAACTTTAATAATATATTTTATTTAACCCAAATAAAATTTTAAAAAGATATATCCAGAATATTATCGTGTAATCAGTATTTTAAAATTATTGATTAAAACATTTTACATTCCTTTTTCATACTAAGTCTCCTAAATCCAGTGTATATTTCATACTGACAGCACATCTCAAATAGGACTAGCCACATTTTAATTGCCCAATAACCAGTAACTCGTGGCTACAGTATGAGATAGCACAGCCTTTACAATTGTATACCTGGTTTTTTTCTATAATATCACATCTTAAGCATTTTACCAATGCCATTAGAAACTTTAAACATCATTTTAAAATCATGATTACTGACTGCATAGTATTTCATCATTCAGATTTACCATAAATGTATATTTAGATGGTTTTGTATTTTTCATGTTATAAGTAATCCTGTAGTGTTTTTTGTTTTTACATTAACTGACAGTTTCTCAACACATTGCCAGTAAAAAACATAAATTATTCCCTTTGAATGTAGCTAATTAAATCCATTCATTCATAAAACAAAAATTCATTTAGTAACTTAGATAAGGGAAGTGAAGGAGTGAACTTCGAGAAATAGAAGACAAAATCCCTCCCATACAGTGTTCATAAGACTTGGCTCCACAGTGGAACTGCACATATCTTGTATTTGATCCTGCCTTAAATGCCCTTCCCTTCATTTCTTTCTCCACCCATCCTCTGTCCTCTTTACCCTCTATGCTCTCTCTGTCTCTCTTTCATGACACTGCCTGGTTAACTCCTACTTTACCCTTCAATGGACCAATCAAATATAGCCTTCTTTGGTGAGTCCTCCAGCTGATTACTGATTCTCTCCTCCATTACAACATACAAATTGTATATTATATACAAAGCATCCATGTTATTTTGGGTGTTAGCTTACTCTCTGCTTCCCCTACTACAGTGGTAACTCCTTAATGTTGCACACACACGACATACACCGTTGCTGTCAAGTCGATTCCAATTCATAGCAAACCTACAGGACAGGGTAGAACTGCCCCATAGAGTTTCCAGGGAGCACCTGGTGGATTCGAACTTTTGACCTTTTGGTTAGCAACTGTAGCTCTTAACCCCTATGCCACTAGGGTTTCCTTCTTAATGATGGAAACCTTATTTTATACATCACTTTATTCCCAGGCACTAGCAGACTGCCAGGCAGTGAATGTGGATTTCAATAATGTCTACTGAAATATGTGTTGAAATACCAAGTGATCATATTAAGTATCAGCTGGCTGGTAAAACAAGTACTATAGCTGTTCAGAGTTCAAAGAGATCACTTTAGATTGGCATGGTTGAAGAAAACTTAATGAAGAAGGTAGGACTTGAATTAGGCCTTGGAAGATGGTCATACTTAAATGAATGTGGGGAGGGAATTAGCATAAAACCTACTTAAATATTCTGTACTAAGAAGTCTGTGTTTTTTCAGGAGGAATTCTTTAGCATGTGCTAATAAGTATCAGGAAAACCCTGGTGGCATAGTGGTTAAGAGCTATGGCTGCTAACCAAAAGGTTGGCAGTTCAAATCTACCAAGTACTTCTTGGAAACCCTATGGGGCAGTTCTACTCTGTCCTGTAGGGTCGCTATGAGTCAGAATCGACTAGATGGCAATAGGTTTGGTTTGGTTTTTTTAATAAAAAACCTAGATCTGAAGCACTGTATTAAATTTCAAGAAGGCTGTAGAGATATGGTTCTTATCCGTCAAAAGCTGACAGGTGTTTGCAAGATTAGAAATGACTACTGACTCCTTCAGTATAAGCTTTGAATTTAACCTTTAGTTAGATATAATTCCTTGTGTTTCAGTTTGGGAGTTGTTAAAGATCATTTTGTATGATGCTAGTTCAGTGATTTCTTCTGCTAATAGATAAAAATGTACATCTTCTTCTCACTTATTTGTCAACATGGTTAGGTTCCAAAGACCAGGTCATTATGCAAAAATGGAGGAGAATGACCACATCATATCACATAGTGGAGAATGACTACATTATTACATAACTGCCAAACCACTGAAAATCATGGCCCAGCCAAGTTGACACGTGACCTTAACCAGCACAGCCAGTGTTACGTTCACCTCACACCTCAGCATTCATTGCTGCCAGACGTACGTCATTAATGAGCAAAATCGTCAGATGGTAGATTTTTTACTATTGTCATAAATGCAAAATGTTGGATAATGAGATAGTTGATAAGTGAGGAGAAGGTATGTAATAATAAGTAGTATCATTATAAGGAGCTCTAGTGGCATACTGGTTAAGTGCTTGGCTGCTAACTGAAAGGCTGGTGGTTCAAACCCA